CGCATATTTCAACATCATAATACACAACAGACACAGACAATAGTATATTAATATAATACATATGATTATATAATATAATATATTAAATTAATATTTTAACTAATATTTTAAGAATATACTATATATATATTAGAATATATCTGGTTTATAGATAATAATAATATTATATATATATAATATATTATTAATTAATAAATATTAATATAATAAATATTAATATACCAACACTCAATCACACACACATCAACACACACACACACACACATAACACATCACACAACACATATTATTAAAATATATAATATTTAAACTAATATATATATATCATAATACATAATACATAATTATACACAACATAACATAATACTCATTCATACCACAATAATAAGGAAATAAATAGATTATATACCAAATAATTAACGTTAAACAACAATATTTACAGAAATATATCAGTGATCTTGCAAGTAAATTCTTATGTAAAATAAGGACCTTTTTTAAAAACATTTGGTAATTACATTCTGAAGACTTGTTGTAGCCACACTGTGGTACTATGAATTACACTTGCCGTAAGATGGAGGACGACTGTGCTGCAGACAAGTGACCAAAATGGAAAAGATAGAACCATCATAACTGGTACTACTAAAATCACGATATATATGAGTTAAGTGTAGTGAGTCACGGTCTCAAGAGTGGGCTATCCCAATCAACGGCGCGATTAAGAATATCATCGTGTCAAAGTCTTACGTTAAGCTAATTTTATGCGGCCTCGAGGTTTTAACAGAAACCAGCAAATCTGCACAATATTTATTGTGATCCGCAAACGTGCAGAAACTCGTGGTGGTTGATTGCTACGACCACAGTGATGATAAACACTTCGTGATAGATAGGTGAAATATTAGCGTAGCCAATAGGTTAAAGAGTCCAACCCAATACTCATATTAAATGAGGAGTATCACAACAACACTAGAAAATTATAATATATATATAAGACATATAATAATTTAACAAATTGCAGCAATACTTAGCACATTTTTATGAATAATAAATATATATGCATAGGATTTATAAAGGTAATAATAAAAATAGTATATATAATAGATTATATTAATATATTAATAACAATCCTAACACATTAATAGTCATAGAACCTAATATAATACACTCTACTAAATACTATAATACATCAACTAACAGTCCCATATATATCCCCTCAACCTAAACACAGGCCCATGTAAGATACAGTAGAATACAGAATCATATAGATTATAATAGATATACATGATATCTTGAACAATACAAGTATTAATATATATAATATAATATATATAATATGATATATCGCTATCGCTAAGGTTTTATACAATACATACATATATGAATACATATTATGGTGTGTGGTGACATATATGAAACCTATGTATACTATAAATATATATATCATACTAATATAATAAATAATATATATAATAGCACTACCCACCCACCATCACCATCACAAGTATAACCCATAGAGTATACACAACAAACAGCACCACACAGGACTATATTGCGTAACGCAACTATAATATATATAATATATATACTAGCACCTATATAGGTATAATAAGCTATCACAATATAATATACCGATAGGTACATACCCAACCATACCATATGACATACTACTACTACAGTATATACTACAATAACACATTACACACCATATAATGTGTGTGCTGCTATAGTGGTATGCATAAATATTAGTGTGTAATAATAAAAATACTATATTAGTTATACGATATTACTCATACTTAAATATATATGTTGTGTGGTGTGTGTCCGTGTGGAGTGTGTCGAGTACTAGTATTTTACATCTTTTTGCGATATGGAACTAGGTTATATAGAGATTGTTTAGCTATTAACATGTCCATTATTCGCGAGTGCGTGTGTTGATGACTATTGATTAGTGTTTTTTGTTTGCGGATTCGCATAGGACTTTTAGGCCCAAGTTGTGCCTCCAAGGAGTGTTTTTGCATCACGTGGGCTTCGCTCGTGATGAGCTACCTGTGTCGATAGTTGTCAACACTGTCGTGCCTCCGCAAGCGCGTCTAGAGCAAGTGAATGGGTGGAACTCCTTAGAGACACACTGCCGAACGGGGACAGAATCCGCGTTGACTTACTAGCCGGCACACTCTGTGGGCTGTGGTGTGTTGATGGTTTTGCAAGTCTAAACCGCGGGTCCCACCAGTTGCTCGCACTTGTGAGGTGAGACCACAGACGTCACAATACCAGCCCAATCCCATCCTTCCTCAAATAAGATACAGCAATCCCTCCCAACAGCAGGAGGGTCCCAAACGCCTCAGCGCTCACTGCACAATCCGTCCACAGAACCCAAACCACCAACGACGTGACCCCAGACCTCCAAACAATATGATCTAGACCCCAAGACTCATGAAGATACGCCACAACCCTGCCAACAAACTAACCGCCATAAACTCAGATACAAAAGCCGTCCATCCCACAGTAACCCCCGCCCGCTAAACGGCCCTGCGCCAGTCGCGCGTAAACTCTGTTGGATGCACTCGAAACGGGGTCTGTGAACCTGCACATACCCGCCCTACCACCAGGTGTTTCCAGCTATAAACTTCCGTGCAGTTCACACGCACCTGGCGAGTGCCATGTCCGGTGACCGGGACAAATCTCTATTGGATATCAGTGCCCAGTGACTTTGCATGGCCTAAAGTAATCCTAAGCCCAAACTAACTATGATAATCCCATATTAAGCTCGCTTAATACATAAAGAAAAATGGAATGATGTAACAAGATTGGAGGCACAGCAACTAAGACAAAGGCGACCAAAACTACACACTCCAGAAACAGCCCAGGGCTCACACCACCCCAACACAGTATTCCCCACCCCAGCTATAGATATAATAGACTACTCACTACTATGTACATACTATCGTTACCCCTATACACATATCTATACTTGTATCCACCACACACCCCGTGTGTCTGTGTGTTGTGTCTGCTTGGGTATTGTCGACCAAGCCACGTTAGCCGCCTTCAAGGTGATCACAAGCACAGTATATAAGTCAACGTATGCACCCTGGCAGCTTTCGCCATCACACTCTCAAGTGTCAAATACTCACAGTGCAAGATGCTTAATTGATAATCGACAAGACCAATAAATAGTTCAATAATGAAATCTTACAGTTAGTCCAATATAATTAATTATTTAAACAGCTTAGATTCGGAAGTATCTTATTGATATCTAGCCTATTTGTATATGTGATACTTGCTTGCTAAATATCGCCTACGATGCAAATTCATAGACCTTTGAATATAACGAGGAAGCCCTAGACAGTTCAATACATTTGATAGTACATGCGTATATATATGTGTGTGTTATTTTTGCTGCATGATACCCGACCTTTTATATTGACACCAATCTGTATATACTATTTTTTTCAGATGAAGCTATTTTGGTTACTGATCGCACTCTTGGCCCTCGCTACTGCTGACGACAGCAGTTCAACAGGCCAGTCTAACGACGGCGACGACAACGGCGCTGATGACAACGGAGTTGATGACAATGGCAACGGCGACGCAGGGGCCGCGTCAGACGTCGAGGGACGCACAAGGACGTCCGAGGCTGGGAAGCAACAGGGCAGATTCTTTGGAGGATTGGGAGGCTTGAGTCCTGTTGGAGGTATTGGCGGTTTCAGTCCTGTTGGAGGTATTGGCAGGTTGGCGGTATCAGTCCTGTTGGAGGTATTGGCGGTATCAGTCCTGTTGGAGGTATTGGCGGTATCAGTCCTGTTGGAGGTATTGGCGGTATCAGTCCTGTTGGAGGATTTGGAGTGAACCCAGTACTAGGAGGAGGGTTTGGAGCAAATCCTGCTTTGGGAGGACTTGCTGTAAATCCTATTCATGGAGGGAGATTGGGCATTGGGCCTGGTATTGTGAGTCCTGTGGCTCCTCCCTCCACATGCCGCTACTGGTGCAGGACACCCGAGGGTCAGGCCTACTGCTGTGAGAACATCAACCAGCCACAGAGTGCTGCCGGTGTAGTCAAACCGGGATTCTGTCCCCCCGTTCGTCCAGTGTGTCCTCTAAGGAGCTTCCAGCCACCATTCACTTGCTCTAACGACGGCGCTTGCGGAGGCATCGACAAGTGTTGCTTCGACAGGTGTCTCGGCGAGCACGTGTGCAAACCTCCTCTGGGCATTGGGCGATAAAGTCCTATGGAAATAATAGCAAACAAAAAAATATCAAATGTTCCACGCTGGAACTAATGGTATGTTATGTAAAATTTCTATAACATGTTCCATATGCCAAAAATGTAAATATGTAAATGAATTAAAGATGTAAAACAAGTTTATGTGCGCCATTATCAGTCCCACCACCTACAATATGTACAGTACATGCATATACATATATATTTCTGTACATATATATAATTATATATAAATAAATACATACATACATACATACCTATATCTATCTATATATACATATATATATAGTGTTGCTTTGACAGATATTTCGGCGAGCATGTGTACAAGCCTCCTCTGGGCATTGGACGATAGAGTCCTCCGGAAATAATAATGCCAAAAAATACAAACATCAAATATTCAACACTGGAACCATTGCTATCTTAAGTAAAGATTCCATAGCATGTTTCATAAGCCAAAAATATAGATATGTAAGTGATATATAAATGTAAGGAAGTCAGAAGTTTACGTGAAGCATTATCTAACTCACTGTCTACAATGTATAGGCTACAATACAGTTCATATATATGTGTGTATGTGTGCGCGTGTGCACATATACATATGAGTGTTGGCATATGTATGTATGTATATATGCGTATATTCTTATATATCTATGTGAATATACATAAATATGCATAAATAAATTTGTATATAAATGTATATATAACACGCACATGCACATGAACATATAGAAATATATGTATATATATTATATATATTTATGTATGTATATATATACATATATATGTACACACACACACACACACACACACACACACACACACATATATATATATATATATATATATATATATATTATATATATATATATATATATAATACATATATATATAATATATATATATATATATATATATATATGGGCAAATATTTGCACTTTGTGGGAATGATTGGGTGTGTGCATGTGTGTATATGTATAGCAATAGATATGCGTACATACATATATGCATATGTGTGTGTATATATATATATATATATATATATATATATATATATATATATATATATATGTATGCATATATGTATTCATGTTTACATATATAAATATATACATATCTGTATGTGTGTACACATATAAACAAGGTTTGGGTGCATCCTTTCAAAATTGAAGATCTTAACAAGTCTTAAAAGTGGAACTTTTTCTGTCGTAGATATCAAAATGTCTTTAATTAGTACAAGGCATATTTTTTCGCGTAAATGTACATATATCTGTTACCGGCGGACGCCATCGCGATTCACGTAGATTTGCAAGTGGCTTCTATGAGCCGTGTTGGGGAAAAACATTCTGCGCGCATCATATCCGAGTTGTGTAAAAGTCATGTCGGGTTTATCTCTTTTATTTTGGTCACTGACGCGACAAGTAGGCCTACATATTACGGAGAAGTGTATTCAGCAACAAGTGGCTCCAAGTCTTAAGAAGTATTTAACAATGTTTTAAAAAGGTCTTAATTTTCATAAGATTATACTTGCAAGAACCCTGATATATTTCTGTATATATTTGTAACTATATTGTATCTATTATTCTATCTTCTTATCTTAATTCCTGTGAATGATATATATGTTTGTGTTATATATATATTATATATATAATATATATATATATATATATATAATATATGTGTGTGTGTGTGTGTGTGTGTGTGTGTGTGTGTGTGTGTGTGTGTGTTGTGTGTATACATATATATATATATTATATATATATATATATATATATATTATATATATATATATATATTATATATATATATATATATATATATATATATATATATATATATATATATATATATGTCTGTGTGTGTGTGTATGTGTGAATGCGTGTGTGCATTTATATATATATATATATATATATATATATATATATATAATATATATATATATATATATATATATATGTATGTATGTATGTACATATATATATATTATAATATATATATATATATATATGTGTATATACACATATATATATATATATGTGTGTGTGTGTGTGTGTGTGTGTGTGTGTGTGTGTATGTGTGTGTTTGTGTATGTATGTGTGTGTGTGTGTCTGCATGTGAGAGTGTGTCTGTGTCTGTGTGTAAGAGAGAGAGTGTGTGTCTGTGTTTGTGTCTGTTTACATATCCTGAACAAAAAAAAAAAGAAAAAAAAAAAAAAAAAAGAAGCGGTAGCATGCGTAGAGACGCCGTTGGGTTGTGCAAATGATATGCAGGATATTCCTCGAACAGACCAAGAAATCTTTGATGATTAGAAAGTTGTGTATACTTCAGTATACTTCTTACACGAATCTTCTAAAAGAAAGCTGGTTGTCTCCAGCAGAAGGAAATGTGTGGAACCAATCGAAGGCAAAGGCAGGTCCTTTAAAGGTCGCCGGACTTTTCGCAACATGTTTCGGACGCTTAAAGGGAAAAGAATGTCTCATTCTTCCCCTTCTTTCGTGATTTAGGTAAGTAAAATATACGCATATATGTATCCTGCTAGTATACGTAACCATTAACGCACATACACACATACATATGTATATGGACATATGTGCGTGTGTGTACATTTATGAACATATAGGTAAACAAATCAATATACATACATCTATATATAATATACACAAATGTATTATGTATTATGCATGTGTTGTGTATACACATATATGCATATATATACATATATATAGATATATATACATATATAAATTCTCGTTCGCATGCTCAGCAATACATAGACAATTAGCGAGAACAGCCATGCTAGCCAAGCCTCCATACTAGCCAACCCTTCAGCTGCCATGGATACCTTTCTCTGATCGCGATGAAATCTCCATGTATGAACAACGCAATGGGATCATACCATACTTTGTGTATTTGTGTGTGTATGAGTGTATATATTGTATGAGTGTGTGCATTTATTCATTTATCTATCTGTTCACACATATGCGTACATATGTGTACATGAGTGGTTACTCTATGTGCAAATAAGAGCAGATCGTACACATGACCATGTACATACATTACATGTAAATAATATAATCATGTACATATGAGTATATGTATATACATGTATATACAACTATATATTCATATATTCATATATTTAAGATATATGTGAATATATGCATATATTAAAGTATGTTAAAGTACTACCTTTAGATATGTAAATACACACAATGAACATACATATACAGTGACACATATTTGTAAGTATGGAGGTATACAAACATATGTTTCTAAACATATCTATGCCTATATGTCTATGAATAGATATATACATAGATGTGTATTTGCTGTACAATTATATGCATATCTACATACATATATAAATATGCACAGACGGAAGTCCTAGTTTGTCATGATAATTATATAAAAAAGCAAAAGTCAGTTTCTCCTGACTGGTATTCCGTCAGTGAGTTCAGTTTCAAGGTGAACGTCAAGCAGTATATAAGAGATGAACGCTGTTATCCATCATCAGTTCATGAATCACATTGGTAACCAACAAGGTACATCAAAATAATCCTATAATAATCAAAAGAAAAAAACTTGGCCATGTTAAACTGCCTCTAAATATGGCTCATATTGTAATCGCATTTACGTTAGCACATAATCTTTTTCGTTTTCTAATTTCAGATGAAGTTGTTTTGGCTACTGATCGCACTCTTGGCCCTCGCTACTGCTGACGACAGCAGTTCAACAGGCCAGTCTAACGACGGCGACGACAACGGCGCTGATGACAACGGAGTTGATGACAATGGCAACGGCGACGCAGGGGCCGCGTCAGACGTCGAGGGACGCACAAGGACGTCCGAGGCTGGGAAGCAACAGGGCAGATTCTTTGGAGGATTGGGAGGCTTGAGTCCTGTTGGAGGTATTGGCGGTTTCAGTCCTGTTGGAGGTATTGGCGGTATCAGTCCTGTTGATGGGGTATCAGTCCTGTTGGAGGTATTGGCGGTATCAGTCCTGTTGGAGGTATTGGCGGTATCAGTCCTGTTGGAGGTATTGGCGGTATCAGTCCTGTTGGAGGCTTTGGAGTGAACCCAGTACTAGGAGGAGGGTTTGGAGCAAATCCTGCTTTGGGAGGACTTGCTGTAAATCCTATTCATGGAGGAGGATTGGGCATTGGGCCTGGTATTGTGAGTCCTGTGGCTCCTCCCTCCACATGCCGCTACTGGTGCAGGACACCCGAGGGTCAGGCCTACTGCTGTGAGAACATCAACCAGCCACAGAGTGCTGCCGTGTAGTCAAACCGGGATTCTGTCCCCCCGTTCGTCCAGTGTGTCCTCTAAGGAGCTTCCAGCCACCATTCACTTGCTCTAACGACGGCGCTTGCGGAGGCATCGACAAGTGTTGCTTCGACAGGTGTCTCGGCGAGCACGTGTGCAAACCTCCTCTGGGCATTGGGCGATAAAGTCCTATGGAAATAATAGCAAACAAAAAAATATCAAATGTTCCACGCTGGAACTAATGGTATGTTATGTAAAATTTCTATAACATGTTCCATATGCCAAAAATGTAAATATGTAAATGAATTAAAGATGTAAAACAAGTTTATGTGCGCCATTATCAGTCCCACCACCTACAATATGTACAGTACATGCATATACATATATATTTCTGTACATATATATAATTATATATACATAAATACATACATACATACATACCTATATCTATCTATATATACATATATATACAGAGAGGTATGTATAGTGTTGCTTTGACAGATATTTCGGCGAGCATGTGTACAAGCCTCCTCTGGGCATTGGACGATAAAGTCCTCTGGAAATAATAATACCAAAAAAATACAAACATCAAATATTCAACACTGGAACCATTGCTATCTTAAGTAAAGATTCCATAGCATGTTTCATAAGCCAAAAATATAGATATGTAAGTGATATATAAATGTAAGGAAGTCAGAAGTTTACGTGAAGCATTATCTAACTCACTGTCTACAATGTATAGGCTACAATACAGTTCATATATGTGTGTGTATGTGTGCGCGTGTGCACATATACATATGAATGTTGGCATATGTATGTATGTATATATGCGTATATTCTTATATATCTATATAAATATACATAAATATGCATAAATATATTTGTATATAAATGTATGTATAACACGCACATACACATGAACATATAGAAGTATATGTATATATATTATATATATTTATTTATGTATATATATATACATATATATGTACACACACACATACATATATATGTATATATATGGGTATATATTTACACTTTGTGGGAATGATTGGGTGTTTGCATATGTGTATATGTATAGCAATAGATATGCGTACATACATATATGCATATGTGTGTATATATATATACACACACATATATATATATATATATATATATATATATATATATATATATATATATATATATATATATATATATAATGTATGCACATATGTATTCATGTTTACATATATAAATATATACATATCTGTATGTGTGTACACATATAAACAAGGTTCGGGTGCATCCTTTCAAAATTGAAGATCTTAACAAGTCTTAAAAGTGGAGCTTTTTCTGTCGTAGATATCAAAATGTCTTTAATTAGTACAAGGCATATTTTTTCGCGTAAATGTACATATATCTGTTACCGGCGGACGCCATCGCGATTCACGTAGATTTGCAAGTGGCTTCTATGAGCCGTGTTGGGGAAAACATTCTGGCGCGCATCATATCCGAGTTGTGTAAAAGTCATGTCGGGTTTATCTCTTTTATTTTGGTCACTGACGCGACAAGTAGGCCTACATATTACGGAGAAGTGTATTCAGCAACAAGTGGCTCCAAGTCTTAAGAAGTATTTAACAATGTTTTAAAAAGGTCTTAATTTTCATAAGATTATACTTGCAAGAACCCTGATATATTTTTGTATATATTTGTAACTATATTGTATCTAATATTCTATCTCCTTATCTTAATTCCTGTGAATGATATATATGTTATATATATATGTGTGTATATATATATATATATATATATATATATATATATATATATATATATATATATATGTGTGTGTGTGTGTGTGTGTGTGTGTGTGTGTGTGTTGTGTGTGTGTGTGCATGTGAATGCGTGTGTGCATATATGTATATATATATATATATATATATATATATATATATATATATATATATATATGTGGTGTGTGTGTGTGTGTGTGTGTGTGTGTGTGTGTGTGTGTGTGTGTATGTGTGTGTGTGTGTGTGTGTGTGTGTGTGTGTGTGTGTTGTGTGTATGTATGTGCATAGTATATATATATATAATATATATATATATATATATATATATATATATGTATAGTATATATATATATATATATATATATATTATATATATATGTGTGTGTGTGTGTGTGTGTGTGTGTGTGGTGTGTGTGTGTGTGTGTGTGTGTGTGTGTGTGATGTATGTGTGTCTGTGTCTGCATGTGAGAGTGTGTCTGTGTCTGTGTGTAAGAGAGAGAGTGTGTGTCTGTTTTGTGTCTGTTTACATATCCTGAACAAAAAAAAAAAGAAAAAAAAAAAAAAGAAGCGGTAGCATGCGTAGAGACGCCGTTGGGTTGTGCAATGATATGCAGGATATTCCTCGAACAGACCAAGAAATCTTTGATGATTAGAAAGTTGTGTATACTTCAGTATACTTCTTACACGAATCTTCTAAAAGAAAGCTGGTTGTCTCCAGCAGAAGGAAATGTGTGGAACCAATCGAAGGCAAAGGCAGGTCCTTCAAAGGTCGCCGGACTTTTCGCAACATGTTTCGGACGCTTAAAGGGAAAGAATGTCTCATTCTTCCCCTTCTTTCGTGATTTAGGTAAGTAAAATATACGCATATATGTATCCTGCTAGTATACGTAACCATTAACGCACATACACACATACATATGTATATGGACATATGTGCGTGTGTGTACATTTATGAACATATAGGTAAACAAATCAATATACATACATCTATATATAATATACACAAATGTATTATGTATTATGCATGTGTTGTGTATACACATATATGCATATATATACATATATATAGATATATATACATATATAAATTCTCGTTCGCATGCTCGGCAATACATAGACAATTAGCGAGAACAGCCATGCTAGCCAAGCCTCCATACTAGCCAACCCTTCAGCTGCCATGGATACCTTTCTCTGATCGCGATGAAATCTCCATGTATGAACAACGCAATGGGATCATACCATACTTTGTGTATTTGTGTGTGTATGAGTGTATATATTGTATGAGTGTGTGCATTTATTCATTTATCTATCTGTTCACACATATGCGTACATATGTGTACATGAGTGGTTACTCTATGTGCAAATAAGAGCAGATCGTACACATGACCATGTACATACATTACATGTAAATAATATAATCATGTACATATGAGTATATGTATATACATGTATATACAACTATATATTCATATATTCATATATTTAAGATATATGTGAATATATGCATATATTAAAGTATGTTAAAGTACTACTTTTAGATATGTAAATACACACAATGAACATAAATATACAGTGACACATATTTGTAAGTATGGAGGTATACAAACATATGTTTCTAAACATATCTATGCCTATATGTCTATAAATAGATATATACATAGAAGTGTATTTGCTGTACAATTATATGCATATCTACATACATATATAAATATGCACAGACGGAAGTCCTAGTTTGTCATGATGATTATATAAAAAAGCAAAAGTCAGTTTCTCCTGACTGGTATTCCGTCAGTGAGTTCAGTTTCAAGGTGAACGTCAAGCAGTATATAAGAGATGAACGCTGTTATCCATCATCAGTTCATGAATCACATTGATAGCCAACAAGGTACATCAAAATAATCCTATAATAATCAAAAGAAAAAAACTTGGCCATGTTAAACTGCCTCTAAATATGGTTCCTCTTGTAATCGCATTTACGTTAGCACATAATCTTTTTCGTTTTCTAATTTCAGATGAAGTTGTTTTGGCTACTGATCGCACTCTTGGCCCTCGCTACTGCTGACGACAGCAGTTCAACAGGCCAGTCTAACGACGGCGACGACAACGGCGCTGATGACAACGGAGTTGATGACAATGGCAACGGCGACGCAGGGGCCGCGTCAGACGTCGAGGGACGCACAAGGACGTCCGAGGCTGGGAAGCAACAGGGCAGATTCTTTGGAGGATTGGGAGGCTTGAGTCCTGTTGGAGGCGTTGGCGGTTTCAGTCCTGTTGGAGGTATTGGCGGAATCAGTCCTGTTGGAGGTATTGGCGGTATCAGTCCTGTTGGAGGCGTTGGCGGTATCAGTCCTGTTGGAGGTATTGGCGGTTTCAGTCCTGTTGGAGGTATTGGCGGTATCAGTCCCGTTGGAGGTGTTGGAGGTATCAGTCCTGTTGGAGGTATTGGCGGTATCAGTCCTGTTGGAGGCTTTGGAGTTAACCCAGTACTAGGAGGAGGGTTTGGAGTAAATCCTGCTTTGGGAGGACTTGCTGTAAATCCTATTCATGGAGGAGGATTGGACATTGGGCCTGGTATTGTGAGTCCTGTGGCTCCCCCCTCCACATGCCGCTACTGGTGCAGGACACCCGAGGGTCAGGCCTATTGCTGTGAGAATATCAACCAGCCACAGAGTGCTGCCGGTGTAGTCAAACCGGGATTCTGTCCCCCCGTTCGTCCAGTGTGTCCTCTAAGGAGCTTCCAGCCACCATTCACTTGCTCTAACGACGGCGCTTGCGGAGGCATCGACAAGTGTTGCTTCGACAGGTGTCTCGGCGAGCACGTGTGCAAACCTCCTCTGGGCATTGGGCGATAAAGTCCTATGGAAATAATAGCAAACAAAAAAATATCAAATGTTCCACGCTGGAACTAATGGTATGTTTTGTAAAATTTCTACAACATGTTCCATATGCCAAAAAATGTAAATATGTAAATGAATTAAAGATGTAAAACGAGTTTATGTGCACCATTATCAGTCTCACCACCTACAATATATACGGTAAATGCATACTTGCATATACATATATATTTCTGTACATATATATATTATATATATATTATATATATAATATATATATATATAATTATATATGTAATACATACCTATATATATATACATATATAAATGTGTGTGTATGTGTGTATAGATATATAATATACGTATATATTTATGTACATATACATAATGAATTCTTTTTAGATTAAATATCAACTTTCATTAACAACTAATCAAATCCGAAGAAAACATTGCATTTACATTATGTGAAATAAATAAAAAGACTCAGCATGTGTATATATATAAGTTTACATATATGTTTATGTCTGTATACACATATGAGTCTATGTTTATATATATATATATATATATATATATATATATATGAATAAATAAGTAAATATAGATATACGTGTGTGTGTAACCCGTGCATATATACACATACATATGCACACATAAACACACACATACACACACATACACACATACTCACACACATACACACACACACACACACGTTTGTGTGTGCTTTAATTGTAACTATCTCTCTGTCGAAATATATACATGTATGAATATACTATATGTGCATATGTGACTAAGTGTCTGTGTCTACGTAAATACACACCACACACACACACACACACACACACACACCACACACATATATAGATAGATAGATAGATAGATAGATATAGATATAGATATAGATATAGATATAGATATAGATATATAGATAGATAGATAGATAGATAGATAGATAGATAGATATAGATATAGATATATTATATATATATATATATATATATATATATATTATATAATATGTATGTGTGTATATATGTATATACATATATACATATGCTAGGAAATGTTTTTTTTTTTTTTAATGTTTATTTTCTCCCTATTGAGATGTAAAGTAAACGATCAATGTTTTCTCCACGCATGGCGAAAAAGAAAAAGATCGTGTTCAAAAATGACTCAGGAGGTGAAGAAGAGTAAAACAAGTTGATGTGTAATGTATGTATTACACGCTTATTGTGCTATATATTGGTCGATGCTTATTCATATGGTTTTCACGGCTCAGAGGAAAGCTGTCACTGATTGTATGATATATAGTATTCCATGTAAAAAAATACACTCAAGACAATATAAATTCATGTTTTCAGAAAGAGAAGGTTTTCGAAGAGGGAAAGGGGATGGAGCAGCTTCTGCATGTAAATATTCGTTTTTCTACGATTGTCTACAGCGCATTTTGAATTCTAAGTGCGCATATCTATGTATGTATGATCCCTTATTTAGTTTATAAAGAAAGGTAATTTTTTATGGTGTTTTATCATTGCTCATAGATCCGAGACGCGAAATGATGTTAGTCAAAATGTGTCCCGCGGAAACCAACTGAACGGCATGATTTACAAGCAACATATAAAAAATCCAAATAATCATCCCCGGAAGGTTTAAGACATTCAAATACCGGTGTTCATATATGCATATATTCATATGTATATATATACATATATATATATATATATATATATATATATATATACACTTGCATATATATGTATGTATACATATGTAAAAAGAGCTGGAGAGATAAATAGATATAGATACTAACAGATGTGCCTTTTTCTGAGAATTACATTTCATTTACACATTTACATTTCTGACAAATAAAGCCTGTTATGGAATCCTTACTAACGTAACCCTCATACCAG